GAGTACAATCCAAACCAACAAAAAAAAGTTAGATTTTTCAAACTTCGATGCCAACTTCACATAGCTCATTACGGCGAGGGGGTAATTGCTGGTCAATTAACTCATTATCGAGGGGCGACAGGTCGATTCATCGGACCAGGGGTCCGAGCAAGACAAATCGATATTTTACTCAATCAATTTAATCAATTCAAATTATCTTCAATGTGTTAATTTTTTCCCAAAAGACAAAAAAAACTCGGAGGAAAACGCGACGTCTAGACGAGTACATTACATACGTGATTCTTTAAAATGAAATTCCTCTATTGACCAAGGATATCTTTAACATTGGAGTGCAATTCGGATTCTCCAGGGGCTTCTACTCTTTCTCATTCGATTTTTATTACTATTTCCCTGAACTTTCGGGGTACTATTCGACCGCAATCGACTGGATTTTATCGATACGATAAACCAGAGGAAAATTCAAAAATTCGGGAATTTCATTTTTTCTCATTTCTAAATTTTTTCAATTGTTCCATTAACTGAGGACATCAACGGATTATAACCGAATCAAAATGTTGTTGATAAATTGACAATTTGAAGACCCAAATTTGCAAAACAGCGGTAATTGGAGGAAATTTGATGATTAATTGAATATCGAAATTCTCGTTATCGTGGAATTGTTGATATAAATATAATATTGCAAAACCTGTGGTATTTATTCTGCGGGCAATCAGTTTATGGATTTACCCTGGGATTTTTCCCGGTTGAAAATTGGAAAATACGATTGTCAGAGTCGTGGGCGTTGGAAAACGAAATATTTAGTGCACTCATTCGTCATACTTTCGAATGTACAAAGTATTTCGGGATAAAGAGTTCCACGAGTCAATTAATGGCTTGCGATAGTCATCGCTATCTGCGATAATAAATTGATGAATACATTTGGAAATTTCAAAACCCAATAATTCACTTGATGCACAAATTCATTTTTTCCATCTGTTCACACAATTTTTGAAAATTTTCTCGGCAACAGCTGACTGCTATTCTCAATTTGGTATAAGAAAGAATGGAAATCCTCGAATCGGGTTGACCCGGATTTTCGCTCGGTTTAAATTCAATGACTTTTTTTTATCCGCATTCTGACTGAAAATTGACAATTTCGATATTTACGCGTCTGGGGACCGACGGGAATAAAAAAAAATATTTTCCCTTATCAAACACACCCATTGAATAAATTCTTACGGAGAAGGAATATAATTCAGCAAAAAAACAAATCGCGAAAAAAATTCCCAATCGTCTAATTAATTCCTCAATAATCGATCATTCAACGAGAATCAATTTTACTCCACGTCCTCTCCATTTTATTGCATTTCCATCCTAATCCTCTTGTTTGAAAATTTGTCTCATATAATCTATTTTTTCAGGGAAGAGTCATGTATAATTTGGCGCCTTACAAAAAAAAACCAATATGTTTAAACTGTATTCTTAATTCCTCGTTGGTCTGTCACATTCGAGAAATATCGAATGTTTTTCATCTTATTTTATTTTTCATTCCAGCCTCTCGCTTGTTCCCCTAACCAAAAGGTGCGAATAATCGTCTAAATAAATAAGCAAAATCAGTGAGATGCGCCTGCGATATGCAAATCATTCTCGATTATTTTTTTTGTCTCACCATATTTTGTTAAAATGCATAACTCTTCCCCGAAATTCGACACGTCTATTTAATCAATGCCCCCTAATCCCGATACCCGATTCAGTCCCATTGACCTAATCCTCTCCAACCCCATGTACTTTGCCATTTATTTTTATTTTTAGATCTACACCCGAATGTTATTTTTTTTTCTCATGATTTGTGAGTCTAGTAGGAGTGTCTCCGGTGACACATAAACGTCCGGAAAACCCTCTGGGTTTATTAAAGGTCGTGTTCAAAGGTGCCTAAAAATATGAGGAGAATTTCTGTCCCTTCGATTCGATCCACAAAAATAAATCCAGCCCTTGGGAAAAAATAGAGTCATTATGGAAGCGTAAAATATGTTGAACTCAGTGTTGCGTTCGACCGTGCATGACCGGAATTTATTGCACTCGTATCACTGAACAGATTCAATTCCCCTGACATTGTGGGATTCGAGATCAACCGTCCGGTTTTATGATTTCATTAATTCATGATACGCAGTGGCATGGATATTTACGCCTTCGAATCATAATTCAAATTTCAACTCATGAATTGACAAAAATTTTCTATTTACGATATTATATCATTATCTCCAATCCACTTCAATTATTTTTTCAATTATTTCACGTTCTGAAATTTTTTTTAAATAATTGTGCTATTTTTCAAATAAAAGAGACCTTTTCTACGTGTAAGATGAAGAGACCAGAAAAAAGAATGAAGAAAAAAAATACTTGGCAAACACAAGGGAGTACATCAGAATAATAAATATATATAATGTACCCCCCCATGGCCGAAGTCCAGCGCTGGCGCAAAAACTCCCACCCCTGGATTTAAAAGAGTTCACCCATTCACGGACATCACCACAAGATCAGTTCAAATCCACGAACCCCAGGTATCATACCGGGAAATTCATCTCAAAAAAAAAATAATTAGGCACGAATGCTCTGTCTCCTGGAGGCACAACGGCCGCGCGAATCCCTTAATTAATTTTTTCTAGTAATTTTTCTCCGGGTTTGTTCAACCGGTTCTATCGGACTGCTGAGATATCGGAATTCCAATGAAAAAAATTGTTAAATAATCATGGGACTCACCGGTGCAGCATGGCATCCCCTCGATCGTCGACCTCTCCATCTCCTCCGGTGATCAACATCACGTGCAACAGGTAATTCACCTTTAACGCACAATCCCGAATCGCGTGTCGGGCACTGATCACTTTGTCCACTTTAAATAACGGAAATTTGAATTTGAAAAAAAAAAAAAATCACTTCACTTGAAATAAAATTCACTTCACTCAAAAAAAAAAAATCACTTCACCCAAAAAAAAAATTCACTTCACTTTTTCCCGCCCGAAATTTTCGTCCTCCGGTGCCGCTAATTACCGAAAAACCATCATCAGTCTCAAGATAACAGTCAGTCCTGAACGGGAATTTTAATGGAATATTTATCACTCGTTAGAGTATCACCGGATAAAATCCTTTGTTCGACCGCCGAAAAAACCCGAATGTCCCGCGCGATCACAACACAACACTTCGTTTACGTTCGAGTCCCGAATTCTCGGAAAAACAAGTCCAAACACGTTCGACCAAAAATTGTTTCCGCCTCAATGATGAACATTTATTAGTTAATAATCGTTAATAATCATCAATAATCATCAATAATCATGAATAATTATTCACTATTTACTGGTGATACACTGATTGAACGATTTTTCCCGGCATTTGGGCTTTCAGTTTTTTATTCGTCTTTAGTCCTGGATTCACTTCAATATCCATAAAAATTGCATGTTCACATCACTCAACGGTTCACGAACACTCAAAATCCACTGTCACATATTTTTTGGTGGTAATTCACCAGTAATTAAGGGATTAACAAGACTTGCCGGCGTCTGTTGCTGTCGAACGCGTACACTGCGGCGGCCATCTTGTCTCACTCGCACTAGCGTCCCCTCTCCCGCCTTCCCTTTCCCTTCCCCACGCGCCCCACCACACGCCACGAGCAGTTGTCTCTGGACAATTAAATGTAATTCCCTTTCCCGGGATATGTAGTCTTCACCGACAAGTGCATGTCTGCCAATTACCAATCATTAATATACGGACGGGAATTTCAGAGAATTCACAAGATATTTCTGGGTTAATGAATAATAATAATAATTAGAGAGTTGTTTATTCGCGAGATTTTTTTTTGCCTGATATTTATATTTTCAGGTTTCTCTGGATTTATCATTGTTTTAAAAATTGTATTTTTTTACGAATGACAAATTTTTACTATCAAACAAAATTTAATTTTTAGTTTATTCACCCTGTAGATGATTTTGAAGTTGTAAAATACTCAAAAAATCTGGAGTAAAAAAAAATTCTAGGATTTCTGGGAGAATAAGAAAAAAAATATAGTATTTATCAATTGAATTTCATTTAAGAAAAAAACCATAAATTATGGGTTATTTTTTTGAGATATTGAAAATTCTTTGAATATTTAGATTTTAGGTATGAAATGATACACCATATACGCTAGTAATTGAAAAAAATTGAAATAACCGTCTGGCCTGCAATTACCTCGTAAAAGACATTTGCAGGTAATCAGAGTGAACTGCGTAAACAATTTACACAAATTTGGCATTAAAAAAAAATTTCGCAACCCGGAAAAAGCACGTGGAAAATAATGAGAATGATTTTCAGGGGAGGTTGATTCCACAAAATCGATCAAGTAACCGATCGAAGTGTTCGACCATGATATTGACTCCCACTTGATCTGGCGAATGGACCAGCCGGAGTCGAGATGGTGTCATCGATGCCACAGTCGTCAGTCCACATCCACACGAGCAGCATCGTCGGGATGGACATCCCAAAATTCCACAATCCCACCGACTACCACCGCGTCCACATCCCAGTGAAAAAAATCCAACCACAGTGAAATAATAACTGAATTAAAAAAAAAAAATCACTCCGTGCGAAATGCGCCAAAAAATGCCACCGATTTCCCTAAAAATCATTCCCACCACTTGAGTTTGATCTGATAAAATAAACTCACATGTGAACTATAACGATGCCAAACAATTTTGCACATTTTTACAAAAAAGACTAGTAGTTTCAACGTCATTAGAGTCATTCATCTTGTCACATATATCGCAAGTTTATTTTTTAAATCGTCAACTCGCGGTAATTTTTGGCAGCAGTGTGGGTTGTGCCAGTGACAACACAAATTTACAACAGTGAAAAATAAAAATAGTTGTTTAAATCATGTGAGAGCAGAGGAAGTAATTTCTCAGTGAATGATTTCATGACTGATAACTATTAACAGGAGTAATTGAAAGTATGCGTCAAGGGATGAGAGAGGATCGCTCGACGATCGATAAATTTCCCTTTGGGATTAATAGCGTCGTCCACACGTCCATCACCGAAATATCACGTTTCAGTGATAACAACACAGTAAACAACCCGGAATTGATACCCACCGAGGGTTTCAATCAGACAACCCCCAAGCGTGATGCCCTGTACATAGTTATCCCCATAACTATTATTTATATGGCAATATTCATCACTGGTCTCGTCGGTAACGTCTCCACGTGCGTTGTCATTGCTAGAAATCGATCAATGCACACAGCCACCAATTACTACCTGTTCAGTCTAGCTATTTCCGATTTACTTCTGCTAGTATCAGGTTTACCACCCGAGATGTACTACATCTGGTCACATTTCCCATACGTCTTCGGCGAGGGCTTCTGCATCATTCAGAGTTTTGCTGCTGAGACATCAGCCAATGCTACTGTCCTCACCATCACAGCATTCACAGTTGAAAGGTAAAATCTATATCAATTATCAATCTTGTATTATATTTTGTTATTGAACCCTTGATATCTCCACTGTGACTAGCACTTGGGGTGTCAGGGAATTCTGACAGCGTGACAGTGAAATTTATTGTCCAATTAACTCTGATGTTGCAGATACTTCGCTATTTGTCATCCATTTCTATCTCACACCATGTCCAAACTATCCAGAGCAGTGAAGTATGTTATTCTCATATGGATACTTGCACTATGTCTGGCAATACCCCAGGCCATTCAGTTTGGTATTACCTTCTCACAAACCCTGAATGGCACAGCTATTCCAGGGACCGCAGCTTGCTCGGTCAAGTGGGAAATTATCGACCATGCATTTGAAATATCTACGATATTGTTCTTTGTTCTACCAATGACCATCATTACTGTACTTTATGTACTCATTGGGATTAAATTGAGACGATCGAGACTATTGGTGGCTGTTAAACGGAATCCCATGCCGGGAAGTCTCAACAGCAGTGAGAGTGGAAGGTCCAGGGTGTCGTCGCAGAGAAATGTCATACGAATGCTCGGTGAGTTCAATTGGAACAATTCATTTTCATCCATTGGTATTTCAATACAAATTTATGGTAATCATTTCCTTGTGGTTATTCCTCAAGTGAATGCAATTGAATCTCGTTTAATCAGCGGAGGAAAAATCCTAGAATTCATTCTCCATTAATTTATTTTTTTTTGTTAAAATTCCTCAGTAGTGAAAAGGTCAGCTAAAGAGTCCGGTGAATTCGACATTCTCGACGGGTTTTTCGGACACCTTTTATTCATAAATATGTGGGTTTTTTCATCTCGGTAACTCAATTTTATTTATTTCACACACTGCAAAGTACAAGTGGCTGGCGTGGGAGTAATGAACCGTGTTTCTCACATTTTTGTTTTATTTCGAGCCATTGCACGTTCGAATAAATAGTTTATTACACCACCAGGGGATTTAATGACGAAAATGGTTTTGCCGTTGACCTGACCACTGGGGGACTGATCGAAGGGCATCTGGGGGTAGTTTAAACCGCTTTTTATTTTCCAATTTAACAACCGGTCACTCAATTCTGGTCCCCATAATTGGGACCGAAGGGCCAATATTCTCAGAGAATTTCTCCCTCGTTATCGCACCACCGGAAAAAATTGAAACTCCCCACCGAAACCTGAAGGGCAAGAATTTTATTTCGGAATATTATCTTATTCGAATCTTCAGGCATCATCGAAATTCTAATACACCCCCTGGGAGTGGATTCTCTTCTATTTTCATTTCACGAAATAGTCAACATCCCGGGAATCTAAGAAAGGGGATCTTCCACTCTTGTATTGTCCTCCCCAGGGGAGAAAAACGAGACACCCTAGTTCATCCATTTATTATTTCAAATATATTAAATACTCCGTTGGGATTATTTTACTGATCTATTTCTTCCACTACAATTTTATGTTTTCAAGTTTTAAAATAATCACTGATCCTCTTTTACCCTAGTTTCTTTAAAAGTGAAAGAAAAATCATTTCATGAATAAATCCAGTCGAATTGGAGATGAAGTTCTTTATCGGGGGCACCCGGTGGTACAGACATCCGAGAATTAATCCATTATTCAGGGAATCGCAACAGTTACAAGCTGTATTTCATAAACTGACGTGCTATTAATCCCTTTTGCTCCAGGTGAGATAGAATTTCCTCTCGACTATTCCACCAGAAATTCCAGTGATTATTTTCATTTCGTTTGACTTCCAACAATCTCTAGATATTTTCAGTTGCAATATTTGCAATATAGCCACGTATTTCCGGGAGGACTGCGACGATCATCGGTTTGTTTATCTAGCTTTGCGTTTGAGGAAATGGAATTAAATTATCGGAATTTGTTTGTGATTTTTGGAATACCTCTAGTCGATAAATCGAAATGAGGGAGGAATTTGTTTTCCCTGAAAATCAAATGTCACGAAAATTTTCGTGTAAATACGAAAGAATTATCCGAAATTCTGTTGCCTAGTTTTATTTAATCTGCTCTACGGGGATGGGGGAAACTCCGAGAAATTATATTTCCGAATGTTGAGATGAGTATTAGGAAAGTTTCCGGGGTGAAACTGCCTTGGAAATATTAAGTAGCATTTCTTTCATTAGGTGATTGATTATTTCCCAGACGAGATTGCGTTGGTTAACAAACTTTTATAGTTTACGAAATAAATCCCCGAGGGATTGATCCCCAATTATGCAAACGATCCCCTTCAAGAGATTGCAAACACTAATTTCTTAAATTCCCATTCCGCAATCCAATTACAATAATGATAAAGTAATTAGAGGATTCAATGCATCGAAAAATGTTAATATATTTCAGTGTTTCAAGGATTACCACTCGATTTAATAAATCGATTATCCGCCGACTTCCGGAATAATTAAGTTGGAATGGATAGGACTGGATGATTGATAAATGTGAAAGAACCGTGAGAAAAGTTGTGGTAATACCCGTTGGCAGATCCGGATGATAAATACAGTCGAATTTTCTATCTTTCCGAACTCTTCAGGAATATATTCCCAGATAAAGTGAATTTTCCACAAGAAGACACTGCAAATATATCAAATCTACCCCGATATCCCTCCACCCTCTGGGGTAGATGATCGAAATATTTATTCGATTCATTTACTCGAATTCCCAATACCCGCGGAATAGTTGATATCGAATTCCAACGAGGTGTACAGATCGAGATGAAATGATTCAAGGTTGAGGGACATCATGAGAGGCAATTCAATTCCATTTTATTTATAGAAAATCAATGAGATTTTAAAAAATCCCTTCCTACTCCATCCATTCACGTTCAAACCACAAAATTAATCTGATAATTACCTCCATCCTTCGATGATTAGATGTAAAAAAAAAATTTTTAATGATCCAAGGTCGAGATAAGGAGTGGAAGGGAACCCGTTAATTAATTGTTGAATGACGAAAGATTAACGCGCCATTGGGGAGATCATATTCGAATTTTATGTTAATACCAAAATATTGCGGGCGAAAAATACTCGGAATATTGAATATTTATAATATTAAATATTTTGAAAGACTCATCTCGAAATTTATTCGAATCTCTCGTCATTGCAATCGCAAGAAAAATTCTGGTAATTAATTAATTAAACCGAAATTGAGGCCGGGGAATGGAGAGACAATAAATTTGGTAATAAGAGTCTAGAGGGTAGATTGTAGTGGCAATAAAAGGTAATGCCAGACCAAAAGCGGAAAAAGGTAAATGAAGGCAAATGGCTGTACAACTCGGTCAATTAACGTCAGATGATTATTGAAATGAATTGGCAGCAGTGACTCAATTAAATCACCAAAAAGTCCAATCCTTTGCACTCCGGGAAATGCAGAGAATCCGCGGGAATATTGAATTTATTTTTTTTATTGGAATAAAATTGAATGGGCGAAATGTCAAATTGAATTGAAAAAAAAATGTGTGACGTGTTGCAGTGGCTGTGGTAGTTGCCTTTTTTATTTGCTGGGCGCCTTTTCATGCCCAGAGACTGTTGGCAGTTTACGCAAAAAGCATTGGTGATGCTGGTGGACAATCCCTGGTGACGATCTACACGATTCTCACGTACATCTCGGGAATATTCTACTACCTGTCGACGACGGTCAATCCTCTTCTGTACAACATCATGTCGCACAAATTTCGGGAGGCATTCAAGGTATTCACCGATGATAAATTTCAAAAGTAAACCATCGGGGTAATAAATCAATAGTCCGGAATATATTTCAGGGAATGTTGGCGGATCGGTGCGGTGCGAGAAGATCGATACAACGTGCGAGTCCTCGTCGTCAGACGTATACCAGTCTCTCCAAGTATCAGAAATCGATGTCGAGGAGACCTGAGCTGAATTCGGGGTCATATTCGGCCAGTGATGACACACAAAGGCTGACGGCGATCGTCCGGGGGGTGGAAATCGAGGGGAAAAATTGTGAGAGGCCGGAAGTGATGGATGAACGTGGGGAATCGGTTCCTGAGGGGATGCCGGGGGTGACAGGGTGTGACAGGAAGCCTGGGAGGACTCGGGGGACTTGCTCCGATCCTGAAGAAGTCACTGTCCCGGAAAAAATTATCGATGACGAATCCAGAGTCAAGGATACCGTGTCTCATAAATGTCTCATCGTCCAAAGACCTATCAAGACTGTCAGCATCGGTGAGTGGTAGTTTCAATTATTTTGATAATTAAATTCCCTATTTTAAAATTTTTCATCGCAAATTGGGAATTGAAATTGCGATTTTTTTGGCGGTCAGGACTTATTGCTGAACGATTGAGATCTGGTACGAAGGAGCTCTTCGCTCATCAACAGAAGCAAGTTAAATCAAGGATGAGGCCCGAGCTGTCCCAACGGGCCCAATCTATAATTCAGAGTCGTACGAGCATCGAGAGTGCCAATACCATCAGTAACTCGAGCCTCCAGGATCTGGATGAGACTGAATTTACTGGGTCTGAACTCGCTGAGTACATGGGGAAGGTGAACATCGAACTCGTCACCTGACGAATCGACCTGGAGGACTCCGACGCCGAGGACGAGCTTTGAAAGTCTTTGCCATTTGTGAAATATATCGTCAAGTGTGAACTCTGCGTTCTCGTACAAACTTCTTATTTTATTTAATCGATGTAATTAACGTCAAGACTGCTTGGAGGGGAAATATCAACGATCACAGAATTTATTGATTTCAAAGTGTACAAGCTACCTGTGATTGATTTTAGCCCAGACAATGAAGGATCGTTCAAGTAATAATAATATTTCTCGATTTAAGGATATCCAACTGAATTTTAATATCCAATATGACTCACATTGTAAATTATATAATAAACTATCAATTTTGTTGATTGAATTGCGTCATTAATTACCCTTCCCACTTTTTTCTTACTCGTTTCATCCAAATAAATAATTCTAATTATTTTCTGAATGCATTTTCGATGAATTAAAAAATTCGTGGATAAACTGGAGTTGCAGAAAATTATTTGAAGGCAATAAAAATGATAAAAAATATTGATATTTTGAATTGAATGACTCCCGCAAGTTTTCCATCGATGAAACAACGAGGTCACTCGGAAATTCCTGGAATATATCGGGAGAAAATTAAAGGAAAGAGATTATTGTAGGGTAAACGATACACCAATGCCAGAAGTTGAAGGATATTTTTAAATCATGGTTTTTGGACGCTTGTCCAGGTACGCCTTGATGTTTGAATTCTTTGTGACAGTTTCCACGAGTTTCTTGAGGGCCGGATAATCCTTGTTGGAATCGTATCCCAACACTCGAGATATATAATCTGTGTATGCGGCGTAGAGTATGTCAGCGCAGGATAGCTGAAATATCAGTTTCCATGAAACACGAGATGAGTAAAAATTTCCATTACCTCACTTACTTTTCCATTGACGAAGTAGCCGTTGTTCTTTTTCACCTGTTCCTCGAATTTACCGAGGATAAAGCTCATCTTCTGCATGGCTGTATCCTTCATCTTCTCCTTGGCTGCTTCATTCTTCTCCCAGTACCAAGTCGATATGGCTGGAGGATGCAACAATTTTTTTACACATCGATAATAATTATTATGGATTTCTATTTTTCGCGTCGAGTGCACGGAAAAATAAATTTTATTCTGCAATTTTTTCTGTCTGTCTGTTTTTCTGCTGGCGAGTGTGTTATCTGCTCGGGGAATTGATAAAAACCTGTAATCTTGGTGTTAACACTCACCGATTCTTAAGTCGTCCATGTCATCGACCGCGGCGTCGATCTGGTACGCCTCCTCGACGTCGGCCCCGTAGAGATTGAATTTTTTCGCGAGATAACGCAATATCGATTTCGATTGGTGATATTTTTTTCCATCGATCTCCAGGAGAGGCATCTGCCCCATCGGCATCTCTACGGGGAAAAACTGAAGGGTCAATATCTTTCAATTGCAGGAAATTTACGGTACGACGTACCAGATTTGTACTTGGGCCAGTCATCGAAACTCAGTCTCCGGTCCTCGAATTTAATACCACCGTAACTCAACATGTACCTGAGAGATTCCCCCAGACCCGTGATGTCGAAGTAAGTCAGACGATACGTCATTTTTACCTGAATTAAAAAAAAAGAAGACTCATCAAATTACCGAGGAATTTACGACTGCAAATGACCGGTCATTAGACTGGAATTTATTTGAGGGAAAAACAAGATTTTCGAAATCGAATTAAAAAAAATTTCGCTCTCATAAAATTTTTTAAATGAATATTTAATTAATTTAACATTAAAAAAATACCAAAGCCGATATTTTGATAATAACCCAAACAGAAATTTAATTAATACAATACATTCCCGAAAGCAGTAGCAAAACCGATAAATGTCCGGTGCGGAACGTAATGGCGATAAATTCGGATAAAATTCCCGAGGCTGCAACAACAGCGATAAACTCGATTGATGACTTCTCGTTCCTGAATATTGCAATCGTGTGATGAATAGTGAAGCCAAAAAAATGTGAATCATACCTGTTGCCGAGTAATTTAGCAAATGAAGAATACACGAGTACCGGTTTGACAGCCGAGTGAAGCCACTCCTTCCTCTGGAAATTACACGAAACGACTGAGTACTAACACTCACTGAACAAGTTCCCTCGCCCAGATATCGCGGTTTATCATTACGTCATGGAATCCCTCAACAATCGTTCACATTGAAGCTGATGTTTAGCTGAGACCTTGTTATTGTAATTACCGCTGTGAATGCCTCATTGTCCATCATGATTCATCATTACAGAAATTGCAATAACTCATTTCCAGACGAGAACAAAAGGAACAGTCTCATTTTCTCCAATATCCCACCTTTCATAAATTCATCTCCAATTATCTCCTCGCTGAATTTCAATTTAAATTCTTCCCTCCCAATTTTCCAGTGGCAATGAATTTCATTTGTCAAAATATTCATTGCCAGCTGTCGTTCGACGTGAATTTTTCACTTGAATAGCCTTATTGGGCCTTAACTCCGGCCCTCGGTGAATAATTGAATGAAATAACTGAAGCTGTTTATCCAAACCCTTTACTCTGGAAGATAAGTAAAATGTGTCTAGAGATATCGTGACCGCAATGAGACTGGAAGGCTTTTATTATCGAGAGTGACTGGCAGTTTCTTAACGACTTGTCCCCCATTATCTGTAGATTGTAATTTTATGAGGTGTAAAATTATCGACTCACAACAATGTAAATTGCAAAATCTTTATTTGAAAATAGTCGAGTGTCGAGTGACAACATCATATTGTACAGTATTTTATTAATCCATCTTGTTCACAGGTGGGTATATCGATTATTATCGATAATAATTGAACAAGTGGTTATTAATTTAGCAATCGGTGACTGGTCGTTTGTCCACCCAGGCCTTGATCTTGGGCTCTGCGAGGACTTTTTCGTTGAGAGCCTTGAGATTCTCGTACTTCTCGATCAAGTTGAACTTGGCCATGAAGTTCAAGTAGTCCAGGAGACCAGCGAAGACGAGGTCCGCCCAGGTGAGTCTTCCACCGATAAAATATCCACCGTTTTTCTTCACTTGGGCGTCCAGACGCTCCAAATAAAATGGCACGACATCCTTGAAGAGAGGACCCTTCTTCTCCTCCTTAGCTACCTCGTTGGTCTCATAACTGTATGCACCAATTTCTACAGAATTAAAACATGACAATTAACCAATTATCGATCCATATCAGGAACTATCGATTCCAGGAGAAAACCCTCGAGCACTTTTTGTAACCGATTAAGTGTCTGATAACAGATAAATATCTGTTGACTCATAAAATCAGTTTTCAAGGTCAACCTATATAAAAAAAAAAAACTGGAAAATTCCACTCGTTTATCTCATGACTTTTCAACGGAATTTACTCACTGAGACGTAAGTCATGGATGGTATCGATTGCCGCATCGATTTCAAGATTTTCCCAATCGTTTTTTCCAGCTAGACCGAATTGTTTGGCCAGATAACGACAGATCGCTGTGGACTGGTGAATTTTCTTGCCATCGACCTCCAAAACAGGTGTTTGCCCAAAAGGCATAGCTACGAATGTTTTAATTGGACGATTAATCACTCACAGATTAATGATTTTTTTTCAATCCTGGGACTTACTGGGCTTGATTGCGGGCCAGTCGGCCCTGTCAAATCGCTCATCCTCGAACTCAACGCCTCCATAACTGAGAAGAAAGCGAATTGGCTCTGCCAGAGCCTTTACTGGGAAGTAAATCACTTTGTACGTCGGCATTACCTGGAATATCATGATTTATTTCCCCCATAGTTGCTATTGAATCGCAATGCTTCGGTCAGATATCGATATATTTATCGATATCCGCACCCACGAACATTTCGATTTAATCCCACGTTAATCCACTCCCTAAACATCTCTTCAAACTCCCCAAGTGCTTCAATCATATTTTCGTCTACATCCTACAATTGTCATTAATCATCTTCGCTGTTCCCCCCTTCACATTATCCTAGTAAAAAATTGAAGCAACTCGAATTATCAATTTTTTCAACCGATCACCCAAACCCAAAAATGAATTCAATTTATTCAACAACTCGTAATAATTTTTTGTAATAAAATCCTGGAGTATTATAAATCCTGAATTTTTCCACCGGATGATCCAGAAATGTCTGGCACGAGGTCAACGATCCCTTCAGAAACAACTACGCAATTAGTATGTACCAATAATTCAACGCCCTAAACTCACAATTAGATATCACGGAGATATTTCAAGAATTAGAAATAAAATGGCTGGTCTTATCAATCAAAGGAATTACTCACAGCAATAATTGATCCAATGAATTACCACAGAACGAGTGTCTGCTCACTGAAGGGATGAAGTACGTTCTGGCAAAAAAATAATTGAGATGCCGGTACTTATGGGCTGGAGCCGGTGGTGATGGGTTGCCATCTGCTTGGTGCTTCCCTCTGTCGTCCATTTCCTTCAGAATTTCATTATTCCTCCATGACGTCATCCCGTTGGTCAACTGTTTAGGATTACTGGATTATTCTCCAGGATTAATCCCGCTCAATTCCTCGATTCCTAATTCCCCGAGCTTGTGATCGACTCCAGGAATCGTCATAATTCCAGGAATTCCAATTTCGAATTCAAATTCCCCGGAAATAATTGTCATTTTTTTTTCTCGTTCGTCTTTTTTTTTGTTGATCCTTTTTAGCGCCCTCGCTGTGAAAAATAACGGGCATGAGGACGTCCTGATGACGAAAACCATTTCCACCGCCCTGAAGAATTTATCTGGGTAATTATTAACATCATGAACCAATTGTTTTGATATTAATCATCGGATTAAACGCGTGCGCGTATTTATATGCCTCGCGCAGCGCCACCACATGACAAATTGCACACCAACAATTATCCTCATTACATCTCACCAAAAATCCAATCAATTCTCTCATTACGAATACGATTATGACGTCATCGTGTAACCTTGAACCTGAACAGGATTGAATTCCAGGAAAAAGCTCGAAGAAAGTCGAGACGCATCGAGTGGTCTCGACACCAAGCGATAATCGATACAACCCTGCGATTACAATTGCTTCTGAAAAATGAAAAAAAAATTGTGAATTACGGGAATTGCGATTGGAAAATCATCCGATTTAATAAGATCATATCTTAATGTTGGTGGTGAAGGGGTGGGGGGAGGGGGGATCTGCGCATGCGCGAGGAAATCGGATATCTCGGAAACGATTTTCTGGGAAATGGAAAATTTGCGGGGGGAATTTTTGGATTGTCGAAAAAATTCTGGATTATCGAATAGTTGCAGGAAAAGTCCAGTTTTTTCAGGGGGAGGTGGGGAAAATGGGGGATTCTTCGGTGATGGTGGATCCTGTCGCAAGGTAGGGGTGAAATTTGGCAACGTTGTAACAGCGCTTTGTTCGGATGTGCGGTGTTGTCGACACTAGGCTTACAACAGTACTGGCTTTCGTCCTGAACATTTCGTATCAATCCACCTGATTTGTTCAGTACCTGATTCTGTGTCACATCAGCTGCAACATTCCGAGGTCAACGTCCTGGTGATAAGTGGTGAGTATGGCTGAGATTTTTTTTTTTTTTATTGAGAATGAAACTCAGAGGGAATGGAATTATTCCATTGGGGGGGATTGAGTCCAAGGTCCCATTATTTGAGATTCGTATTTCAAGTCCTAGGGTATTAATAATGTCCTATATTTATGTCTATGAAGTCTGTGTCATCGATATTTCACGGTGACAACCTCGAATCAATGGAGAATTTAGGTTTTATGGGGATATTTGAGGGGCATTATTTTTTATTGAGGTTAGGTTTTCTTCTCGTAGGTTATGAGGAAAAAAGCTCGAGTCGTAGGTTTTTTTCAGGTGGAAAACAAACGACTGCGAGATTTGCTGGTTCGTACTGTTAATGGCTGAGATGTCGGCTATAAATACACAGATTCTTATACGAAACGGGGAATTTACTCTGGATTTTCTCATTTAATGCCCTATGAATCCTTCGTGGGAGTCAATTCTTTGTCGCCATATCAATCGCGAATTGTCAAAATAATCAGATTATTTTCGAACATCCGGGAATTGCGTAAACGAGTATTTTCCGAAGCTTATCGATTTCTCGCAGCCTCTCTACACATGATGTCTCGGTGGGCCTGGCGATAGCTTCCACACCACGTGACTCGAAACAACTCGAATATGGAGGCGATTAACAATCTTGCGAGTTCGAGATCTCATCCGTAAAAACACCATTTCCTCACGGGTGAAAAATCGTGATTTTTACAGAGATTTGGGCGGTGATGAGTGGGAGGGGATGAAGCGGTACAACGGCCAATCGATTACCCCGAATCTCGGGAATTTCGAGACATCGAATGAGTCCTCCCCTGACATGAAAATGTTTCAAATAAAAATTAGATAACACTCCCATACAATTGCGCATACGTTAACGAGCGATTAATCAATAAATCAATGGTATAAGAAGCGCCTCCTAGTGCAGGCTTTATCCGAATCCACTGGCATTGTCACGATTGTTCTGTCTCATGACATTCGCATGTCCACTCCTCAAAGGTTCGAGAGACATTGATAATGACCAGTAAATTTTCCGATTAGATGCACTAGGAAAATTGATGATCACCTATTAATAGACCCTCGGTATTCTCGATTGGAGAATTCGTGCGGTCAAACGGATCAATGTAACCCGTTGAAAAGGAGAGAATACAGGTACTTTTGGTGCGACCTTGATTCCCATTTTTCTCCGCCTGTATCAGAATGAAAATAGTCGCATGTACCGTAGGCTGGGGCTCGATGTAACCCACCAATCGTCAATGATTGATCGGTTTAATAATGGATAAATAGCTGGATTTTGTCAAAGTTGGATCGAAATGGATCCCTTTTGGTGTACATACTGCCGCCATGTTCGTGACTTCGTGGATGATCGGCAATGTCCGGAGCTCGTAACCCGGGGCCTGGGGTTCACTGTTTAACGTCCGTCGTGTTGGAATATCGTCGATATCAGCTTAACATACCTACAATCCGCCATTACTGTTTATCGAGGGATTCGCCATTGAACAATTCATGGAGTTGTTGATAATAAGGTAATTAATGGGGGGGGGGGGGGGGATCTTATGTGTAGGTTGATAATATAGTCATGCATGATGTAGTTGGGTAATGAGAGTTGGAAGTGGATGGAATACCAGTTGAGACATCATCGAGGCAGCTTTTACTTTCAGCTCTCGATTCAGGGGCGGAGTTAGGTGGGTGCTTTCTGGGGGCTCTGGGCTTTTTTTTTTATTTTTATTTTTTATTTCGAAGAAACAATGGACTATTGTTTTGATTCCGATGTTCCGGGAATTGTCGAATCGATGCGGGTCTGGGAATTTTTTTTTTTAAGTGGAATTTTCATGGGGTTTCAAGGGCGAATTGTACGCGCGATTAGGACACGTGCTGACCCCTCACCACATCGATATCATATTTTTGAGGGTTTACCGGATATTTCGGCGATTCGGAGGTCATTTTGGGATAGGCTCTTGCGATGCTTCGGAGGAGCCTATTGTCAATTAATTAGGTTAATTATTTTGTAGAGTAAAAGTTTGGAGTAGTCTGGGTTAGGAACTAGATTAGATTTGGATCCTTACTCCGAATTTTCATCGGGAAATCGGAATCTGAGGGAAGATGGAAAATTTTATTCCAAATTATCGAGTTGATTGAAGTCGTGATTGGAAAAATCGTTGACGCATTTTTTTTTAATTCCTTTTACATTTTTTTTTATTCCTTTTACATTTTTTTTTTATTGAGAACTCTGTGATACATAACCTGGAAATACTCTACAGCTGATCGCTGGATTATTTGGTAGTTATCTCATTGTATTGGTGTTAAGGAGGTTTTATTAACTTGTAGACCGACGATACGGTGGCCATTAGCTAAAAATTGTATGTATTGAGCCGATGATGGAATCAGTGAAGGCACAATCAATGCCAATTACTGAAACAAAACAACTGTGCACGACACCCGAGGAAAATGGACTCGAGGAGATATCCACGCAACTGGAGAATGAACTCCTGTATGGTGGTGGTGATGATGGTGAGACCCTCTCTGATGATGCACTGTCGGAAGACAGTTATCGTTTGAGGGTTTCCGATGATGATAATGTTGAAGACAAGATCGAGACTTCCAAAACCGTGAAAAATAATGGAGACAGTGTAGACAAGACTGAACTGACGGGTAAGTCCCCAATTTTTCCATCCGAATAGTTTTAGAGGTTGCGATTCAGGAAAAAAAAACAAGAGTATACTGGGTGCCATTTTGTGGACTTGTCCGCCATTTTGAACTCGACATTTCCTTTTTTTTTTATCGGCGTAATCGACTGGTGATTTTTTGTCAGTTGTTCGATGTCAATTAACGGTAATTCGATTGAAATATAATGAGGGGCGAGGCAAAATTTTAGCGAGAGTTCAATTAGCACTTGCACTTGGATCAATTCTCGGTGATTTGATCATTTCAAATCCAGACTGCAACCAATATACTTCAATTATTATTAACTACTAACGATTAATCCGGGATTTGTGGTATCTAATGATGAACCAATCGTGATTAATCATTGTTTACTCACGGATATTAACAAACAAATGAGAATAGGTTAAGTTGATTTAAGATTGAGATATCTTAGGCGAGAAAATTGTTGATTGCAGAATCAACTCCGGACGTTCTCGAAACTAACGGTAAATTGCAACTAGATATTATAAATGGGGATAAAGGTGATATGCGCGAAAAAAATGCCGAGGATTTCACCGACGACTTTCATGTAGATCAAGATAATTTTAGCAAAGACGAATTTGATGTCAGTCTGGACAAATATTCTGACTCGAAGACTGGAAAATATTCGGAATCGTCCACGAGCCAGACGAAAAAAATAATTTCAGTTAAATCTCTGGATGAACTCAGCGATATCAGTTCTGACAGTGATAACCAGGATTACGATGAGCCCAAGCATAATGATAAAGTTGAAGAACTAGAAACTCCTAGAATCACTCCAGTTCTGAAAGACTCGGAATCCGATAGTCTCGAGCTAGATTTAAACGATAAAACCGATGATAATGTAAATGAAACAATTGACTCTGAAACCGTCCCTGCGCCCCCGAATGCCGAAAGCAATTGCGCAATACCTGAGGATAACATTGAAGATGATGATAATGATATATTGATGAATGAAGAAGTGGAAAAAAATTCGAAATCAGAATCTACTGAGAAAGATATTCGTCAGATTGACAATTCGGATGCTGGGCCCCTGCCTGATGAATCAGGTGGGACTGCCAGCAAATCTCAACCCCCAGTGGACCCAGAAGAACCGAAAAACAAATCCCGTGGTCATGATATTGCTCCAGATAAGGAGAAAAATAAAACTGGAGCGATCCCTGCATCGTCTGAATGTAGGAACACAGTTTCTGGCACTGACATCAAAACCGCTCAGAGTTCTAGTAAAAAAAATGATGATCAAACCGGAAGTAAACGACGGTTGAGCTCCTCCGAGACCGACAACACTCCAAAAAAAATATCGTGCATTGACACAGAAAAGCTACAGGCGACAGAGAAATCGAAAACTTCTGAGAAGAGTCTTGAGGTGCCAGAAAAGTCAGGGGAGAATGAAAAAATTGAGGCTCACCATGCCATTCTGAAGTCTCTCCTTGCACCCTGCAAGAAGTCCAAGTCCACTGATGAAATCATCGACATTGATGATGACAATACGATCGATTCAATGAGCAGTGGAGTCTCCGTCAGTGTAAATGATAATCCACCAGTTACAGAAAGCGTAACGGAAAAAGCAAAACCGAATAGTGAAGTCAAAGAGACAATCAGTGAAAATCTCGATGATTCTAGAACTCGTAAAAAACGAAGACTTCGAGGTGATTCACAGCTTATGCCAGGTAGGAACAGGAATACTATTAATACTATTAATGAATGTCATCATTATTATTCACTCTTGGGAATGATCTGCTTATTGATTACTTGTGTATAACCCCTTGAATGTTTTGTGATTTCATTCGTTTTGTGATTTATTTTTTTTTTGTTTTGATTATAATTTTTTTTTGGATTGGTTGTATGCAGTCTGGATTTGGAATATTCTTTTATCCAATACCCTCACGCCTTTGATTTTTCACATTTCGATGATTATTTTTCTGCTTTGAGCACGTGAGTCCCTCGATTTCCTCTAATTTATCGTGAAAATGGTTACAGCTAAGGATGTTATAACAAGAGCTAAACGCGAGGCAGCGCAGAAGGCCGAATTAACAGTCAGAAAGAACATTGTAACGTTGAACAATGATTCTGACTCAGACTCTGAAGATTCAAGCTCAATGGTACCTTACACCCCGAAACAAAGAGCGACATCACCATCATCACTCAAACGTAACATGGAGAGTGATGAGCGAGTGGATCTATCCATTTCCAAGAAATTAAAGACTGATAATGAAAATGATAATGCTCAAACCAATGCTAATACCAAGGCAGAGGCCAAGAAAACGTTTAACAGTGTTCGCAAGTTCTTTTTGAGGGACAACAAGAAGAGGCTGAAGAAGCTGACGCAGGAGGTGAGTTATATCTTCGATCGTTTCTCCTTTTGGTAGAGAACGGGGAGTTTATTTGGTATTTTCTTCAGGAACTTGAGGAGCTCTTCATTCAAAAAATCGTCGAGACAATAACAATGAGAGAGGAGATCGGCAGGCTTCGTGAGAAAGCGAAAATATCAGAGCGCAATCAGGAAGCAACACGATTGAAGTGCCAGCAGTTGTCGAAGCAGATCAATGATTTTGAGATGGTGTTGAATCGTTTCAGTGCAGACAGACGTAACAGTATCCTCCACACTCCAACACCGATTAAGATAAATCGATCTGTCGGACTGCAGGTCAACTTTTTGACAGTAAGTCACGATAATAATGTGGTTATTATCTCGATGGTTGTGAAAATTAATGATATTTTAACGATATTATTGATCCCCAGGACATTGGAGTACAGAATTTGAGGCAGTTGCAAGCAGCAGGAAAGGGGGTGCATCCGAAGGTGACACCAAAGTCCACAATTAATGGGATGACACCACCACAGGCTGAGGACATCAATGCCAGAAGAGGGATAAAAATTCGATCACCAAGGAGGACAGATGTGCCAGTAGTTGCCCCTGTGGGTGCACCTGTTCACACAGCCCTCCAGGCTCAGCCTCTCATCTCCACGGTGACACCATCATCGATTTCCCTGTCAAAACCTGTTGACACTCGTACAACAGCAAGCACTGGCCAGCCAATTCACCACGTCGTCATCAATGGCGTTACAAATTCAATCACAAGAACGACTAAAGTTCTCACACCCAACAAGACCAATCCAAATGCTCTGATCGATCTTACTGGTGAAGAGGAGAAGAAGAACTCTCTACCACCACCTCTCACTGCCATCATCACAACCACTGCTGGTCCCAATCATGTTACCAAGGTACAGGGAAGATATCAGAGGGTAATCAGTACCACTGGTATCACTCTACCCCAGAATGCCATTAGAGTTGTTCAGCCTGCTGGCCAACCAACACCCACTGCCCTAGTGGTTAGTTTATCAGATGATTCCTGATGAATTCACTGACCAATTCACCATTAATTGCCCACTAATTGTTCATTTTTTATTTCAGAATAACATGAGCAATGTTGGTGGCGCCCCCAGGTTCGTCGTCATGCAGCCAGGGAGGCAAATTGTCGTTGCCAATAACAATAATCAAATCAGAGCCACTGCAGGAAATACCAGGGCACCAATATCCAACATAACGTATACCTGTGAGTACAGAGGAATCCAGAAGACATCGAGACAGTTGATTAATTTTTTTTTTTCAATATATTTCAGCTGTTCCCACCATCAGCAATGGCACCGTCAGGGTCGTGCCAACGTCGGGCACCACTGTTCAACTTTACAAGGTAACTGTAAGTTTCATCTTTGTTTATTTTATCTCGAGTACAGGACGGACATATGCCTCATCGATTATCTTTTTTTTTTCAGCATCCCGCACCTCTTCCAGACTCTGTCACCTACAAGCACGATCCTTCCTTGAAGTTGCCACCACCAGCGCCTTCCCTCAAGATATCCAAAGTTCAACATGGTGAGAAAATAGTGGAATACCAGTCACTGTGGAAATTATATTATTAAAAATATAACAATTGGGGATTTGATTGTTGTTTTAATTGATTTTAGGAATTGTACTCTCTTGGAATATGCCACTGTCTGAAAAATACGCGGATATTGCCAGTTATCAGCTTTATGCGTACCAGGAGATTGCTGGAATAGCTCCAAACTCCTCCAACTGGAAGAAAGTTGGTGATGTCAGGGCTCTACCCCTTCCCATGGCGTGCACACTGACTCAGGTATGTATCCAATTTCTGCTGGTGTCGTGGCTCACTTGGATTACGATAATATTCATGGATATATGATTCCAGTTCTCAGAAGGCAACAACTACTACTTCGCTGTGAGAGCAGTTGATACACATTCCAGATATGGACAGTACAGTCAGCCTGGCAACATTTCCCTGTAATTAATAACAGTAAAATAACGATTGTTTGAGATAAAATATTCTTGTTTTTACATCTGGAGAATTTGTTATTTTTCAAGGTGAGAATACCCTAGGTCTTGATCAATCGCCCTACAATAGGCCTTTTGTATTTTAGTTTTTGCGAATGTAAATCGGATATTTGAGATTAATCTGTGTTCAAATCTAGACGTTTTATCGTTTGTTTAATCGTGCAGTTGAGCTTCAATAATTTCATCAGAGAACTATGTGATAAAAATCAAGATTTCTTCATTATACTTAATTCTTGATAAGTCGTAATTTATTTGTCGGTATATGTTTTTAAGGTGCGTTCACCCGAGGGGAACGGGCAAGAAATTGAATTTTAATTTATAATTTTTAGTGAATTAAATATAAGTTGTTTGATACAATTACTACATTTTTATTTAATAAATCCACTCTGGAATTCGTTGCACTCAATTGCGCAAGAATATTGCGATTTGTGAGAGGTGAGAATTTTTATGGCGAGTTGTTTGAATTTCCCGGGATTCAATGCATTCGCAATGATCTTCAGACGTGTATGAGGACTCCTGTCATTGGCTGAACAACATCGTCCAGTTATTCTCAGCGAGTTGTATATTGGTCTTGAGATTTTCTCCCGTGGTGGCACACAAATCAGCGCATGGCTTGCCATCTCTCCCTTCCACCGAGTTTTCTCTATCACCGACTAGCTATTCTTACGCGATAAAATGAGTCAGACGGGCATTATGTCGAATCTAAACAAAAACAATGGCCATGGTGATACACCCACGAAATACCACCCTTGCTCCATCATCCCCGAGGTCAACCCCAAGTGATTTATCCCCAATGATAATTCAAGTGCGCGACTTATCAGCTTTATTTTCATTTTTTTATCCAACTTTTTTCTCACATTTTTTTACAAGAGATTCTCCTCAAGTCGCAAATACCAGAATTTCTCATTATTTGTCACCCAGTGTTTGAATGTCTCGATGACGTTTCGGTGAGACACCCGGACCATCTGTGTGCTAGGATTGACAGTGAAAGTATCAGTGACTATCCAACTTGGATAAAAAAAAAAAGAGTCCGGAAAACAGCGATAATGAGGGGATAAAAAAATACATCCAACACAAGACTTGAGAAAAAAAAAATCGCCGCAGTTATGTGTGCGCGTTATCCACTGTGTCAAGAACTTTTTGCTATGGAGATTGACGAATATCCTGGTTTGACCGGTGGGAAAATAAATTTAACTCACTCAACGAGAGAGGTGAATTATTCGCACGTAGTTACTTGATATAGTCGTGAGGGAAAAAAAAAAAACAAAGGAGGAATGTTCTTTTGTTCATGAGTCTAAGGAAAGTCTAAATATATCCCCTATCTGACTTTCCAACGTACTGGTAAATCTGGGTATTATCAACACTGTTTACAAAACTTTATCCAAGTGCTGGAGTCGTGGAAAGATCTAGCAATTTGTAATCCTTGTTCAGCAATGTTGAGTGTTATCATTTCTAGAGTATCACGAGTATTTGATTTTCATCTGGGATGAGTAAAGTTGATAATCGAGTGAAATAATTCGATAATCAGTGAACGAAGGTGTTTAGAATGTGGACATATTGATGGATTGGGTGGAAAAATTGATGAAGTGTTGAGAAATTAGGAACGAGAATTCAGGGGATGCCTAGCCTACACTCGCTCGTCGTACGACGAGCTAATCCACTAATGGAGATGGGCACAGCAACAAGTTCTGTGACAGTTAATCCTCCAAAGGTCAGCCAGAAGAATGATCTTGCTAATAAACTGGGTGGTATTAAAATTCCGTTGGTGAGAAAGGAATCGAGTGTTAATAACTTGTCGTCGATCGAGAGGAACTCGATGAGCAGAGGTGCTGATACACCTCTCCTCAGGCCAGAGAGCAGTGCAAGCCTTGAGGCACGTGGTGGCAGCTGGATTAATCTAGCGTCAAAAACAAATTTGAGAAAGTGCGAGACATCCGTGGGCCTCAGTACACTAGCCCTCGACAATCACAGGCCCATTAATCGGAGTAGAGTTTGCTCCAGATGCTCAAGCTTGTTGTCACTGGCCTCGAGTTCCCGTTACAGCCTTGCCGCTGGAAGTTTTGTACCCGCTGCACCCTCTCAGGGAACAGTCAATCAATTTTTGTGTAAAATTTGTCTCCTCGATGTTTCATTATCGAAAATCTTCAGGATTGAAGGATGCGGTTGCTACTACTGTAAAGACGTGGGTACAATTGCAAAAAATTACAAACAATTTTTCATCCCCATTCAACAATTATATTGACCATAATAATTATACTGTAATTAAATGACTCCACAGTGTATGAAAGGGTACGTCGAGTATGAAATCGAGGCCGGAGCGTACGAGATAAGTTGTCCAGATGCTCAATGCGACTGGGCATCAGTACTCACCCTCACCGAGATGTCCACCCTGGTGACTCCAGAATTAATGGAGAAGCATCACAAGTTTCGACTAAACAGAGGTAAATAAATTGTTGAGAGTGATTGGCATTTGTGGACTGGCCAGATGAACATCTCAATGGGATATTTAATTGAAATTCCAGACGTTTCCATGGACAAGGAGCGCGCTTGGTGTCCGCGTGCTGGCTGTGAGACAATATGTTCAGTAAATAGTAATGGAAGTGGTGGTACATCACCAGGACCTGTCCACTGTCCCAACTGCTCGACAGACTTCTGCTCGGTGTGTCGTGAGCCCTGGCACAACGGTGTGTGCACTAATCTCCCAATGGGAATTCCCTTCGACAACGATCACATCAAGTGCTGTCCCATGTGCTCTGTACCCATCGAGAAGGACGAGGGCTGCGCGCAGATGATGTGCAAGAGATGTAAACACGTTTTTTGCTGGTACTGCCTGGCTTCCCTAGATGTGAGTCAATATTAATAATTAATGATGCTTATGATTCATCGATTGATGATTCAATTATTTAAATTATTCAAGGATGACTTCCTACTGCGGCATTATGACAAGGGACCCTGCAAGAACAAGCTTGGTCACTCCAGGGCGTCTGTTATTTGGCATCGAACTCAGGTTATCGGTATTTTCGCTGGTTTTGGTCTTTTACTTCTCGTTGCTTCACCTCTTCTTCTACTCGCTGCACCCTGCATCGTGTGCTGCAAGTGTCGGGCGTGTGGCTCCTCCAGGCTCGATCAGGAAGCTGGAAATCATGAGGATACCTCAACGTAAGCTAACAACTGGGATATATCACTATTGAAATCACACACTCGATCAAAGTCCAATCGAAATACTGACGACTATTTTCAGTTTTCCTTCGGTATTCAATTAATCATCGAATTTTTCATCGTGACGCTTCTGTTGTTCGGCCTTTGATTGTTCATCTCTCTTTTTTTTTTCACTCATTGGTTTTTTTTTTTATTACAAGACTTACGTCATTGACATGTAAATTTTGTTGATTCCTTTAACGTTATATATATTTTTTCTTATCAATGAGAAACAAAGATGTTTGCCGTGAAGAATTAATAGAATGATAGGAGGAGAATAATTTATCATTGGAAATTATTCTTTGTCTTCTTTCACGATAAAAATCATCGTTTTTGATTTAATATTTATTGATTGAATTCAATATTTATCGACTTTGCTGATAGTGTTCGATTAATCTCTAGGGATTGAACATTCCGGTTGCTTGGAGAAACCAATGATTTCACAATTTTTTACCTATTCTCAGCTTTTGAGGTAGATTTAAAGGGGGGGAATTGTCGAGATGAAACGAAATATATTATGAAGTGTTTCATATTTTTGAATAATAATAGAGTCTACATAACATTTATCGACGTAAGATATTTATTTGTTGCATTTGACGATCGAAGTATTGACTAATTTTGAATAATTTATGTGGAAAATTGAGGAACGAGTGGTAGGAGGAGGAGAAGGGAGGGGGGGGGGGATAGACAGGTTGTACAGTCTCTTTCGATCTTGTGAAATCGATTATCCAATTTTTCGTTGAACTAATAATACTAATGTGATAAATACGTGAAAAATTTCTGTATTTCGTGAGGAGTCAGTCAATGTAATTTAAATGATCATCTTTCATTCTTAATATTAAGAGACGAAGATACGACGAGAACGAGAGAGTTACCATTGGGGTTTGATCATTCGTTTGATTGAGGTGAATACAAATAAAATATAATGCAATAACGACTAAATACTTATTATTTACGTGAGTGAGGGACTGATGAGACAATTGGACCAGAAATCATTGTAATGTGTATGTAATGTTAATAAGAGAGCGATAATGGGTGATTATTGACTCGATTTGTCGAGAATATAGTAATATATTAAGATTCGATGAGACAGCGTTTGAATATCGATTCGTACTGGTGTTTTAACAATTTATTTAAATCCAGAGACCTGCATTTTTTTATCAGTGTGCGTGCTAATTTTCTAATACTTTAATTTGTTGTACTGCCCGCAAATATCTTTCTTCTTCTTATTTTTATTATTATTATTTTTTATATTAATCATGCCAAAGAGGTTGTTCTGCATCGTGAGCGGCACATTTGTCAAGCTAGTTAATAATAATGAGGTCTAACAATTATCCAATTAATCCTGAAACTCAGTTTCCCTCATTCACTAATCCGATACAATAAATAATTATCAGCAACATTTTTCTCTGTTGATTAAGACGATAAAACAAAAGGTCTATGGACATTCCACTGAAGGCATATTGTGCCTGTCCACCTCTGCGCAAACCTAAAAATTGTTGTACATAATAAAAAACAACTTAGTGACGAATACCTTCGGCTTCTTTTTTTTTTAAATAACCAACAGCTTAAAAATACTCAATACCTGATAATCCCTCGATCCTCCCTCGATTTGAAATATTTTTTTACCCCCAGATTGATACACAGGTACACGGAAGTACCTGCCAGGTCGTTAGTATTTTTTTTTTCGGCTCGAGGAGTAAAAAAAAATGAAAAAAAAAAAAAAAAAACGATGCGCGCGTGTGTCTGTTGACGGAGCGATAGAGAATGGCTACCCGGAGGCAGTGGAAACCCCCTGGCGTCTCCGACTGCCGAATAGGTGCAGGTGTATAATACCGAGAGTAAAAAAAAAAAAGCACCGACAGCAGATCCAGAGAGAGAAAGAGAGAGAGAGGTAGTGGGGAAAAAAAAAAGGAGAAAAATCAACGACACGGGGAGAGGGGTAAAAAAGTAGTCGAGGGAGAAAGAACGATAACGCCAGGGTGGTTAGGAGGTCCGGCCTCTGGGTCGATATATCAGGGCTCGGGGTGCAGCTGTCTGTCAGGCACGCGGACTCCACGCTAGACGACGTTGAGAAAAAACTGCTCACTAGTGCTTCTGGGTAATTTTTCATCGTTGCAACGGACGACAGAAGCGGCCGGCGATGGGGTGAGGGGGAGGCGTTGCCACAGACCCCATCTACTCCGAGAGACGGAGGGAAAAAAAAAAAAAAATGTCGTGTGTGTGTGTGAGCCACCCGATGCCACCCGATGCCACCCCATACCACCCCATACCACCCCATACCACCCCATACCACCCCATACCACCCCATACCACCCTACATCACCCTATACAAGCCCATCCACCCATCCACCCCATTTCACCTCATCCACTCCCTTCACCTCCGGGTGGAGACCCTCCTCACGAAATCCCGACCACTCCATCCTTTTTTCTCCCACCCCTTTCTCTCGAGTAGAAAAATTTCGCATGTGCACTGGTATCAGTGTGAACTCTCTTTCCCAGTGATACACAAAGAGAGTTCAACACACACGTTCACCGGGGGGGATGAGAAAAAAAAAAAAAAAAAACCCCCTGCACCAGACGTCGAACAGAACAAGGCGTCCCGACGCTCTACGAACTCTGCAGGGCCCTCTTCCATCCCCACCAAATCCCACCCATCCCCCTCGTCGCAACATTGTGCTTTGCAGGGGTAAAAGTATACGAAACGAGTGGGGAGGATCGATTTTTACTGGGGCAACACCCCCTGCCACCCCACCGCATGCAACCTGCAATTCCTCCCACCGCACGTTTTTTTTTTTCCTAACCCCACCCCCCAGCCCCCTCTCGCCCCCTCTTGCCCCCTCTTGCCCCCTCGTGTCTCACCGCCTTCTCCGCACCTCATCCTCTCGTTACTCTTTTTTTTTTATCCTCTTTATTCTTTTTGCACACACACACGTGCATCTCTTTCCCACGTACTTGTCCTCCCCCCCCCGAATTCACCACCCCCTCCAGCCCCCGCTGGGGGTCCTAATGCACCGTCTCTTCGTGAACCCTTCGAGACACTCTCTTTTTCCATTCCACTCCCCTTTTCCACCCTCTCATGCACTCTCTCCTGCACCGCACTTTCGTTATACCACCCCCCAGCTCCCTTCCACCCCCTCCAGAACGCCCTACGATTTTTCTTGATAATCCAGCACGAAGCTCCGTCGAAAGAAAATAACCCGCGATGTCATTATTTTTTATCTTACCTTCTATTTTATTTTTCAAAGTGGTTTAGCCATGAGATTCCCTGAATTTACTACTGGAGACTAGGGCAGAAGTAGAAATGAAATTTTGCGATGAAAGGGGGAAGTGATGGGGTCAAGGACAAGATTGGCCCCTCCATTTTGCTTCTTTTACAACTTGTGAAACGAATCGAGTGCCAAGAAGTGGCTCGTCGTATTCCAGAAAAAAAAAAAAGGGTGGAAA